AATATATTCCAACAGATGACATTACACAAATTTTTCTTCTGTTAAATGAATGATTTGTATATCATCATAATTTGCTATTTATATAAACCACATTTTGGTAAAATAATTATTTACCATATCAACATTGAATATTATGGATGTAGAATGAAATATGTCTACAGTATGATTGGTTTGAATCATTTAATTTATAAGATTTAGGAATCAAAATTTGTAATTATTTAAAAACCCACATTGAAATTGTTTTATATCAACACACCCACATTTGAATTATTTTATACTTTAGATTTCATGGCCATATTTGCATTTGTAAAAATATTTATATACCCAAATTTTCAATTATTTTACATGCCCAACTTTTATTTTTGTTGTAAAGAAGTGTAACTTGAAACAACAGTATATCATATAAAGAGAAATAAAGATTAAAGTTATATCATGAATATTGGTCATGATTTGTAAAACTCAGAACTGTCAAGTAAATTTAAGACACCATTCAAAATGTTCAGAATATGTCAAGCCATACTGAGAAAAAATAAGAATGTCGAGAATATGTCGAGAAATTTCAAGACAGTATTCAAATGTCAACAATTTGTCAAGAAATTTTAAAACCATATTCAGAATGTCGAGAATATGTCGAGTAAATTTCATACAAATTTAATATAAATGAGAATTTGTCAAGAAAAATTAAGACACAAGTCATACTTTTGGAGAATGTCGAGTAAAAGTTCATGCAAATTAAGACAAAAACTGGTCTTGTCAGACTTTTAGACTTTTGTAGTGTAACCAAGGGTAACCAAGGATAACATGTACGTGATGTCTAGGGGTAACCAAATTCAACATCTGTGGAAGGTTACCAGGTATAACCGAAATTAACATCTCTGTAAGTTGACCTGGGTTAACCAAAAGTAAACATATATCTAAAATGACAAGGGGTAACCAAAGTTAACATCTATTGTAGCTGACCAAAGGTAACCAAGGGTAACCAAGGTTAACATTTATGCAAGATGTCCAGGGGTAACCAAGGTCATTATTTATATAAGGTTACCAGAGATGATCAGGGTAACAAAAGTAAACATCTGTTTATGTTGACCAGGGGCAACTCAAGTTAACATATTTGAAGGTGACCAAAGTTAACACAAGACAACATATGTAAGGTGACTCGGGGTAACCAAAGTTAGCATCCGTCGAAGGTGACCAGTCGAAACTAAAGGCAACATTTATGTAAGCGGACCAGGTGCAACCAAATTTAACATATCTGTAATATGACCTTTGAAAACCAAATACAACATCTGTAAGGTAAATCGGGGTAACCAAAGTCAACATCCGTGTCAGGTGACCAGGGTTAACCAAAGTCAATATCTGTGTTATGTGACCAGGGGTAACCAAGTAGACATCTATGTAAGGTGACCAGGCTTGGTAACCAAAGTTTACATATATTTTAAGCTAACAGATGGTAATCACTCTTAAATATATATAAGGTGACCAGGGACAACCAAAGTTGGCGAGGGGTTAAAATTAACATGTGTGTTTGGTGACCAGGGGTAACAGAAGTTAACATCTATGTAAAGTGGCCAAGGGTAAACAAAGTTAACATCTATGTAAAGTGCCTAAAGCTCAAAGTCAATATTCATTGTATTTGTTAAATGATAAGTGATAACCAGAATTTTCTTTTTTTTGTATTATCTTGCTGTTAACAACTGTTCCATATAGTACAACCATTCTATATAGGTTTATCCCTGTGTGTTAGTCGTTTGCCATGGCAAAAAAAACCAAACATTACCAAAAGACAGACAGCAGTATACAAAAGCGGGTTATTTTCGCGGGGTGTAAATTTTCGCTTATTTTCGCGGATAGAACGAAATCGCCAAAATAAATTCCGCCAATTTAAAAGTGTACATGCAATGGTATTATATAAAAGTTTTGAATCCACCAAAATAATAACCGCCAAAATATTTTCTATACCTTATTCAATGAAAATAGCGAAATTTTACACTCGCGAAAATAACCCGCTATATGGTACAACATGAAAAATCACCGATTGAGTATTATGACCCACACAAAAAACCTTGGATGATTTCAGGTGCTCAGGAAAAGTAAGCAGATCCTGCTCCACATCTGTGGATGAGAAAAGATAGATTTCGTTATTGTTGTAACATTTGTACATTTACATACCAAATAAAAAATATACATTCACTCTCCTATTCATACGTATATGTATCTATGCATAGTTAACTTATTATCCCGTACATATACTATATCCTAATATGTTTCTAGTTATACCAATCATTATGTATACTTGTAATAAAAAATAAACATATATGTACCATAATTCTAATCAACAAAGAACCCTTTTTTTCCAACACTGCAAAGAATATATATAATGTATCCTGCCGTTTACGCTCTATTTCATATGCATGGGTATGTCTTGAAATTTTGATTTGAAAATACAAAAAAGTATCTTAGTTCATAAATATAAAATGCTTTAAAAAATGAATATGTAATAATATATAATAAGTAATTTCTTCATAAGATTCTTCTTGTTCCTCTTCAAGGTATATGCAATTAGTTTTGTGTCAATGTTTAGCAATGTTATAGGCCTGTGATATTCCAAGCGTAAATTTTGTTTGTGAATAAGGGAGCTAATTTCCAATGTTTGTGTTTCTGTTAGCTTCCCCTTTTCATTACATTTATTCATTGAATATAATGAAAAATCTTTGAGCTCACCCAAAAGGTTTGATAAAATTCAACACTGAGACAGTCTGACCCTGGGGAATGGTTTAATTTCATATTAAATATTGCGTTTGTGCATTCTTCAATGCTGAGTTCTCCCTCTAAGAGGAACTTTTTATCTGTTAGTTGGTGATTTATCTTAAAATCTGCAATGTATTCTTCAATTTGTTTTTTATTTGGATAAGCGCTTTTAAAAAAATCTTGATAATAATCTTGTTAAATTCGTAAAATTAGGTATGTATCAATGTGTATTATCCCATGTTTTTCTTTCAAAGTTGAAATTATAGTAGTTTTTGATTGTCTTGATTTTTCGAAACCACGCCAGAATTTGGTGTTTTTCTCACATTGCATTATTAACTTTATTCTAGATCTTACCGGAACACCTTTTGTTTTATTAATGTAAATACATTTTAAACATGTTAAATTCTTTTCTATATATTCGATTTTATTTTTTGATATAATCAGATGGTTTTTATTTTTAGTTTCATTATTAATTAGACTATTCACATGATTCAGGCTTCTTGATTTTTTCATGATATCTTGATTTTTCTTTGTCTTTCTTTCGCGAAACCTATGGTATGTTCTCGTATCTCAGTTTTAAATGCTCACCATAATACTTATGGATCCTTGCTATGTAATGTACTTTTATACATATAAACTAATATATTCATTATCATTTTGTCAATATTGATGTTAGATGGCCAGGCATTAATTAAAGTTAGCGTCCGTCTAAGGTGACCAAAGTCTGTATTTATCTAATGGACCAGGGATAGCCAGAATTGACATCTGTGTACGATGGCAAGGGTTACCCAAAGTTAACATCTTTGTAAGGTGGCTAAGCATAACCAAAGTTATCAGGGGTAATCACCGTTTACATACATGTTAGAAGTCCAAAGCTCAAAGTCAATACACAAGTTTGGTAACAAGTGGTAAGCAAAGTCAATATACGTGTAGGATGGCAAGCGGAAACCAAAGTCAGTATCTATGTAACATGTGTAAGGTGACCAGGGGTAATCAAAGACAGTATCTGTGTAAGGTGACCATAGTCAGTATCTGTTTGAGGTGACCATAGGTATCTGAATTCATCATTTGTGTAAGGTGACCAGGGTGAACCAACGTCAATATCTGTGTAAGGTGACAAGTGGTAACAAAAGTCATTATCTGTGTAATGTGACTAGGAATTACCAGCATCTGTGAATGATAACCTAAGTAAACATTTATGTAAGGGGACCAAGGGTAACCGAAGTCATTAAGTGTGAGAGGATTAAGAGTAACCAAGATAATAATCTCTGTAAAGCCCAGGGCCCGGTTGTTCAAAAGTGTCGTTAAGCTAACGACTAGCTAAGCCTAACGACTCGTTAAATTTTAACATTGTTGTTAGCTAATTACTGCGTTAAATTATGTTGTTCAAAAATATTTAACGACTGAGTTAACTAACCACTTGTTAAAAAATTTAACAACTGTTTATTTTAACATTTTCCCATAATTCCAAAAAAATTACCCAAAATTCCTCCACTTCCTGTTTGAAAATGGCTGAAGAGTAACCCCCCAAGAAAATTCCAAGATTTAGAGGGCAGCATTTTCCCAGTATGGAAGTTAACCTCATCAGTAGGAGAGTTGTTGAAGAACTGGCTTTACTGAGGGGGAAATTCGGTAAGGATGTGACAGCTGATGCAAAAAACAGAATGTGGGAAAAAATAACTGCAGAAGTGAATGCTCTTGGTGTGAGCTATAGGCAAGTTCTGACTGTGAAAACCAAGTTCAGAAACCTCACAAGAGACGCGAAAGAAAAATTTGTGTATGAAAAGAGGGAGAGAAACAAGACAGGAGGAGGACCTGCTCCAAAACCAATAAGCGTTGCTGAGGAGAACATAATAAATGCATTAAAAGACACCTCCTCTTTCAAAGGAATAGATGAAGGGATGGAAACTTCAGTGGGCAAGTATTTTACTTTTAGATTTACTAATCAATGATATGCTTCCATTAATTTGTTTAATTCCTTTGAAACAATAAATCTGACGGTTATTTTTATTGCTATCATAGAAAATAATGCAGAAAATTATTAAGCCAGAGTGCGTCGTCTGCTTTGACATTAGGATATCCCTTTCAACGAAATTCCCTACAGACGTCGCCGATGTGCTAAAAATAGAATTTTATGTTGTGTTATAATGCAACCTTTCTCTTACCTTAGATATATAAAAATACCTTCTCATGATATTGATGAGAAATAATCATCATATACAAATCTATTTATCGATAGATAAAAAAAGGTATAATTATTGTTTTGCAAGAGCTGAAGTTTGTGTTGGCCATCACCTTTGGCGGTCAATTCTGCAATGCCCCTTACATCATGTTTTACCACCATGAAAAAAAAAATAAGCTCTAGTAAAATTATCAGAGAAAATCCTTTTACTTTTAAAGATTATTTAAATTTCAATAAAAGTTATTTGTAAATACAACCAAGAACGAACTTGCATTGGATACTTTACTAAAGTCATTGTGACATGTTTATAGTCCATTTCAAAATAGACATGCATTATTAAAAATTGAGTTATCTTTCTTTGTGCCTGATTTTTTTTGTAATTTTCACTTTATCATTTTTACAGGGTTTCCTCAGCAGACAGAAACAAGTGAGAGTAGATCAACACAGTTCAGTATACAAGGTGTGTATCTAAAGAAGATATTCACGCATACACATGACAATAAATTTTTAAAAGAAATTTACTTTCTTTTAAGCATTAAAATCAATTTTATCAACAAAAAAAAGTCCATTAAATTGTTTTATTTGTTAGTTATTATTAAATTCAGGATTAGTATAGTAGCCATCCTATACCTATCATTGTTTAAATCTGGAACCTTTTATAAAATATTAGTATTTAAGATATAAACAGTTTTTAATATATACTAGTAGTTCATTTTAAAAATTGCTGAGCAAATTGTTAATCAAATGAATCAGTTCATGATATAGATTTATAAAAGGTTAACACTGGCTGGTAATTAATTGCAGTAATATTATAATTTTAACCATAAGTAAAGCGCGAGATTATTTGCCCTTGTAACAAATAATTTGGTATAAAATTGAGAGTGTAAGTATAATCAATACAGGGGTGGATCAAACCATTTTAAAAGGTCCCCATTCAAATGCATAGATCATCAAAAAAAGGGGGCGGGGGTTCAACTGCAACGAGGAATAATGTTCATGCATATTCATCCTTTTTGTGTATAGTATTTATATGACAGCTACAAGAAAACAGGTACAAGAATAACATTATTCAAGTATTATTTTATTTGATTTTGATCGAATGAAGAGTTCTTATTATCAATCAAATATCCCAAAATAAAATGATTGTTAAAAAAAATAAAATTATTATGTATCTTCATTTTATTTCAGAAAGCTCATCATCTGATCAAATATATACTGCTGAACCTGTCAGCTCACCCATTCCAGCACAGATTGCTGTCTCAGGATGCCAGACAGCTGATGGTAATTATTACTTAGATTTTTGCATTATGCTATTATTTTTACAATTCTGCATTTCATAAAAATGAAGATGCAATGTTTCAGAATCAATATTTGAATTAAAGAACTGAAGTTGATATATATTGCTGTGAAAAGAATTTATATGTATAAAAAAATGACTCATGGAGGGTCTTATACAGGGTCTCTGTAATAGCACGCTTTAAGTAAATTTTGTATCTATTTACTTACTTTCATTCAATTGGTCTTTATATATTTTCTAAAGTTGTAATTGACAGTACAGAATATAATGACTTATGGAAAGAAGTAACAGCTATCATGGCTATATTATTTTTTTCTTTTTTACCATACCTTTCACCAACCTATGTTGTTCAATTGATGGGGATTTTATGTCTTGAATATATGTATCTTGACTGACACATTTAAATATTCTCATTTTTAATTTTAGTTTCTTGTGTATAATTTGGAGTTTAGTATGACGTCCATTATCACTGAACTAGTATACATATTTGTTTAGGGGCCAGCTGAAGGACGCCTCGGAGTGCGGGAGTTTCTCGCTGCATTGAAGACCCATTGGGGGCCTTCGGCTGTTGTCTGCTCTATGGTCGGGTTGTTGTCTCTTTGACACATTCCCCATTTCCATTCTCAATTTTAAATATACATCAACTTCATTTCCAATTTGGTGGATAGTTGTCTCAAGGTCTTCTAATCAATCATACTATCCCTCCTTATTTTTATATACTCAACACATATGCAATGTATACCCAATCAACTGAGGCAATTCTAACGTTTCTTTAATCAAAACTTTTAGAACCACCATCTTCTGTGGAGAGTATCTGGATTAGAAGACTGGAGCAGGTTCATCAGAGAAATGAAGAAACACCTTATACTGAACATGCCAACCTATCAGCCAAATTACCTCTTTCATTTACTAATAGCAGTACTCAGCAACCACCAAAAGCCAGGTATATGTTTTAGATAAAAGAATACAACAGCCTTTATAATTTCTATAAACTAAGTAAGTTGGGTATGTACTGAATGCTCTTTTAGCGTTGTATATATCTGGCGCTGCAACTTTTTTAAATGGAGCATCACTGATGAGTCTTTTGTGTATGAAACACCTGAATACATCCTGGAATATACTTGCTCTTTGTTAAAGGGATTATGATGATATAACTTGGCTTAATTGGACTTCCTTTAGACTCTGATGCATATATATATTGTCTAATTGGCAATCATACCACATCTTCTTATGTAATGATTTGAATACTGATAAATATTCTTAAAGTGCCAATAAGTTTATACAGCAGCCCTGTATAAAATCAAGTGTTATCTCCCTTTAAATTGTTTCATTAAACTTGTTCTTTTATGATCAAATATGTCCTGTAAATGGGGATCTAAATTCTAAATCAAATTATTGCATTTAACTATCAGTTAAATGTAAGATTCAGAGAAATATCCCAAATACTCATTTGTAGAATTAATTAAATGAAAGTCTACATCACCTTTTGTTTAAATATTAATCTGGAACACTTACTTCAATATGATCAATTTTTGTTAAAGACTATTAGTTAAAGGTAGAAACATTAACGTACAAGTTGTAGAAATCTTGGCCTTTGGAAAAACAATTTTACATAAATAGTTATACCGGTTTATAATAACTATATTTATTTACAAGATTTACCAAGTATTAATTTTTTTTTATATATTTCAGTGAGAATAAACGGACAAAGAAACCCAAGAGAACTGCAGAAGATGTGTACGAGTTGCAGTGTCAGGCATTAGAGAGCGAGCTAAAAAGAAATTGGACCCAAATGGAACTTTTCAAGAAGCAAATGGAGTTTTATGATTTGATAAAGAAAAATTTTGAAAATAGTTTTACAGAGTCAATGTTAGAGGCTTTATTTCAGTAACTTTAATCAACATTTATCTATAGTTCCATATTAATGTTATATTTTTGATATGTTTTAAATTATTGTTATTGATAAAATACATATTGTGAAAAAAGCTTTTTTCAATGTTTTATTCATGATTTCAGCGATTAAAAAATGTGGAGGAAATGTGGTCTCTGACACCTCTTCCGTCCTGATCACCAAAGAAACGTTCCCCAAGATCCCATCATTGGCTATCACTACTCCATCATCTTCAATGTCTGGTTCATTTAATAAGATGCAAATATTGTGAAGAATAGCACAAGCAATGATGATCTTGCATGCTTTGCTTGGTGTCATTCTTATCTGAAACCAAAGAGTGAAAGTAATGTAGAATTATTGCCTTTTTTCACAATAGCATGTTAATTTGGTCTTAGAAGTTAGAACTTAAACAAGAGTGCACACGCTGAAATGACTCACCTTCTTTACTATAATCCTTGCTAATATTTTGGTTTGCCCAAACCCTACCAAAAGGTAGAGACAGTGGGTAGTTAGGTAGGCATTTTCTTTTTTTTTCGGCAAAGAGAAATTGAAGTGCCACATGTGCCAGATTTTGTTTAGTCTTCATGCCTATCTGATTAAAAAAACAACTTTTTCACATCAAGACAATAAAAGATTTTGAGTAGGGAGATATTTTCTTGGTAGGTAGGGTTAGGGCAAACAAACATATTCTTTTTTATGGCCTTATGTTGATAGTCCTAAATATAAAGCTTTACTACAACTATCACATAAACTTGTTCATTGATAATTTTCTATGTTTTCTATGTATTGTGTGTGATTTTGTCCCATGTACATTTACTCCATATCCTTTAATTTTCTATTAACATGATACAAGAAAATGAGGTCAAGGTCATATAAACCAAACAAGAAATACATGTACACCTAACAATTATTCAATACACTAAATATAGTTGACCTATTACTTATAGTTTATAAGAAACAGACTTAACCAATAAAACTAAACATTGACCAATGAACCATGGAAAGAGTTTATCAGCTCCAAAATAGATGAATTCCAATCAGATTGCGAAAGCGTATGGGCGGAAATAAACATTTCAGGCACCAAAAAGATCATTGTCGGATGTTATTACCGACCCCCATCAGACGATGGAACATCTCTTGAAAATTTAAATATTTCTTTAACAAAAATTAAAAACATCTCAAATTCTAACATATGGCTTGGAGGAGACTTTAACTTAGGCCATATTGATTGGTCAATTCCATCCATTGTTGCTGGAAAACCAGAACAAATATTACACCAACAACTCCTAGACATAGCTTTTGACCATAATTTACAACAAATGGTAGACAAAGAAACACGCAAAGACAGAATTCTAGATCTGTTCTTCACTAATAATCCATCTAGTGTAAATAAAATGACAACTTTACCACCAATCGGTAAGGCAGACCATGATATAGTATACCTTGAGATTGACACATGGCTGAAAAGGGTACGGGAACTACCTAGAAAAATCATGAAATTCAATAAAGCCAACTGGGGAAACATTAAAAAAGATCTTATTGAAATATTAACAACAATACAAGAAAAATACAAACTCAGTAATGTAGATGAATTGTGGGAAAATTTTAAGATAGACCTCATAAAATCTATAGAAAAAAATGTACCACACAAAATGATCACATACAAACATAGATTACCTTGGGTAACAGACAAAATACGTAAGCTTATAAACAAGAAAAACAAAGCTTATCGAAAAAGGAAGAAAGATCCAGAAAAATACAAAAAGTTGAAACAAACAGTACAAAAAGAACTACGTACAGAATATTGGAAATATATTGAAAAAATGATCTGTGATATACCAATAAACGAACCTGGTCAATATGAAACATCAAAATCAAAACCAAAAAATTTGTTCAGCTACATCAAAAGCACACGATCTGATAACAGTGGTGTTGCACCTCTGAAAAAAGATGGTAAACTCATTACAGACACTGAAGAAAAAGCGAACATTTTAAATCAACAGTTCCAATCAGTATTTACAAACGAAACAGATGATAACATCCCAGACAAAGGCAGAAGCCCCCACCCACAAATGCCAAAGATAACAATCAACGAATCAGGTATTACAAAATTACTGCCGAACCTTAATCCACATAAAGCTTGCGGCCCTGACAATATCAATGGCCGTGTCCTTAAAGAACTAAAGGAACAAATCTCACCAATCCTTACCTTAATATTTAAAAAGTCGCTTGAAACTGGAGAAACACCTAAGGACTGGAAACATGCTAATGTAGCCCCAGCCTTCAAAAAAGGGGAAAAATACAAACCCGTAAATTACAGGCCAATATCTTTAACCTGCATATGTTGTAAGCTCATGGAGCATATCATTACAAGTAGTATCATGTCTCATCTAGAAAAACATCATATATTATACGATCTTCAGCATGGCTTCAGAAAATCAAGGTCGTGTGAAACACAGTTAATAGATTTTATTCAAGAACTAGCACAAACAAATAATAGCAACACACAAACTGACTTAATCATAATGGACTTCGCTAAAGCGTTCGACAAAGTCTCACATCGTCGCCTCCTATACAAGCTCAACTACTATGGTATTGAAAATAACACACTAAATTGGATTCAGGCATTTCTACACGACAGAACACAAACAGTCGTCATCAATGGCATTTCTTCCACCTCAGTACCCGTAACATCTGGTGTACCACAAGGAACAGTATTGGGCCCAATACTGTTCCTCATCTATATAAATGACCTACCTGAATATTTACAACATAGCAAGCTAAGACTCTTTGCAGATGACAGCATAATTTACCGGGAAATAAAAACACAGGATGATTGTCATAAACTGCAACTAGATCTAGACTCAGCAGCACGATGGGAGTCAGATTGGCTCATGGCATTTCACCCTGATAAATGTACCAACCTTACCATCTCACAAAAGAAAAATAACTACCGGCATAATTACATCCTCCACAATCACATTCTCGAATCAGTAACATCTGCAAAATACCTAGGCATCACCTTACAATCCAATCTTAAGTGGAACAAGCACATAGACAGTATAGTATCAAATGGGAACAGATCACTTGGTTTTTTAAAAATAAATTTAAAAGTTACTAACACAGAAATAAAATCAAGAGCATACCAGGCACTAGTAAGACCCAAACTAGAATATAGTTGTAGTGTCTGGGACCCCCATATGAAAGATCAACAGACAAAATTAGAAAATGTGCAGAGACGAGCTGCTCGTTATGTTCACAACAACTACGATTACACGAGCAGTGTCACAAACATGCTAAATCAGTTGAAATGGCCACCACTAGCTGAGAGACGCCTAAAAACCAGACTTATTTTATTTTACAAAGTAATACACTGTCTTGTAGCCATTCCATCGCATATTCTTGAACAAACAGACAGCAGAACAAGACAAAACCATACTCAGACATACAGACACATACAAACTTCCAAGGACACATACAAATGGTCGTACTTCCCGCGAACAATTATTCAGTGGAACTTACTACCACAAACTGTTATTGAAACCGCCACTGTTGACAGCTTTAGAGATCAGCTAACACCAGCTGTTCTCTCTAGCTTCAGATAAACAAATCCAAACCAAAACATGTACATAAATTGCATATTTTTTAATCACAATCTGTATATACAAACACTTAAATTGTTAGTAAATATTTTTATTAATTCATATAAAAAATTTTTTTTTTTTTTGTCAATCACGCATGCGCAACAACATGTATTCTTCAGTATTGAAGCCTTGTTGACCTAAAATAAGAAGAAGAAGAAGAAATGAGGTCAATGTCAGATGAACCATGCCAAGCAGACAAGTACAGGTAATGATTCTTCCATACAGCAAATATAGTTGACATATTGCTTATAGTTTAAGAAAAACAGACCACAACACAAAAACTTAACTTTGACCACTGAACCATGAAAATGAGATCAAGGTCAGATGACACCTGCCAGCTAGACATCTACACCTAACAATCATTCCATACACCAAAATCAAACAAAATTTAATTTTTTGATCCTTTGCATGGATCTCGACATTCCCAATTTTGCTCCAAATCCAAAATCTGAAACCAGAGTTAAGATTCAGCACACCTAATATATTCAATAATTTTTGTAAAAATCAAACACAACATTTAATTTGGACCCTGATTTGTACCAACTTGAAAACTGGGTACAAAGATTCAGCATATCAAAGAACCCAATCAATACGATTTTTGTAAAATGGGGGCGGAGCCTAGGATGAAAAATTTTGTCCTGCCTATTTATTTTTCCCTCTATTCAGTCCTGCCTTTTTATTTTTCACTCTATTCGGTCCTGCTTTTTTTTATTAGTTTATCCTGACTTTTGTTACCTAAATTGTCATCCTGCCTTTTTTTTTTACTCAAAACTCCTGTCCTGTCCTGCCCCCCCCCTCAAAAATCAAATGGTAGCTCCCTTATGTTCTATGACTGATCATTTGCATAAAGAATTGATTTTTTTTTATCCTTTACCTCTGAGTGTAATATATGGAACCGTCTCTTCAGCCTCCCAAATGTTCTCTCAATCACACTTCTTGTTGAACAGTGGCATCTATTGTACTTTTTCTGATGATCTTGTACAGGATTCTGGTATGGGGGTCATCAAAAATGGACGACAAGGATAACCACTATCCCCAAGCAGTACACCATTTGCCCATCCACCATTTTGTTCCATGTAGGTACACACCTATACATACAGGTTTATATTTCATTTACATCATATATTTGGTTAAAACTACCATTTGTATAATTTAAATGTATATATTAAGCTTTACGGAGGATTTACACTGTTTACCTTAAATAATATTGAGCAAGACTATTTTTCTATATTCCTTTTTCAGTTATTGTATATCAATATTTTTTTAACATAGCCACCTCTTAAAACTAATTGGTTGCTTCTTTATATATATAGAATAATTGATTTTTAACATATATATCATTTACTAAAGATATTTCTATATTCTTTTTTCAGTTATTGTATCTCAATATTTTTTTAACATAGCCCCCACTTGAATCTAAAAGGTTGCTTCTTTATATATGGAGTAATAGATTTTTTAACATATAAATCCTTTACTAAAGATTATGGAAATACAATTGCAATCTAATATGTATAATGTATTAGCCTTTCTTTCATTAATCCAAATTTTATTATGCTAAAATGATTAATTATATGTAAATATGAAATGATAAATTCATTATTTTGAAATGAAATTCAAATGTCCTCATATTGGTATTTTTACACCTTTATCAGTGTAATGACAAAAAAGGAAAAAAAATATTAATGATGACAGGCAATAAAAATAGGGGGTTTATGTCCAAGAAGAAGATTTTGACCTCCCCATGTTCCCGCAGTGGTAACCAATCCAAGATAAGAGATTTTGAATATGTATTGAGAAAATAAGAAGTCTTCCTACTGTTAACATTTAGTGCTTGAAAGGGAATATGACTAATAAAAGATGACCAACATGGCTATAAAATACATACTTGTGAAGTCCTGAATATGTGGGAATCATGACTGCTACCTGGCCAGTTTGCATTTATGTTTGTGAATTTACCTGCAACATATAGAGTATTATATATAATGCAAAGAAGAAAAAAATGTTGTAATAGCATTCACAGAATTATATGTAACAAATTATCTTTTATTAATTATTATATTTTTCTAATTAAGACATGTAAGAGGTGTAGCAAGAGTTTCAAAGAGAGGATTATTTGGGATCATGCAACAGTGGACCAAAAAATAAAATTTATTTGAATGCATTTATCTAAAAGTATTGTAATGGTAATCTTAAAAGGGGGTGTCCAAATATTTCCAACTACAAGTGTATAATTGCTTTAAATTTCAGAAAACACAATGAATAACCATAACTCAGATGTACAATGCATGTATAGACTCACAAATTATGACTCAATTATATTGTTTCAAACTAGGAAAACATGATATTAATAATCAAATCAATTGTGCTAATGCATCTTTATTTTTTTATAGTTGATCCACATCAGAGCAATATTAAAATTATAAATATCAGTGCATTTGAATGGAGACATATGGTTGGAACTCCCCTTTTCCTAGGTTGGGACCCCCCCCCCCCTTTTTGAAAGTGGCTGGGCCCCTGAACAGAATCTTTTTCTCATTGACGAAAAAATGACAAATAACTTCTTTTAATATTTGACTAACCAATATTTTAATTTACCTGTAATAAGTAAACCATATAAAATCCTACTTTTATGTCCTAGATGAAGGTTTACACTGGAGTGAAAGTGAAAGTAATTACTATGTGAGAAACAGACTATAGGGGTCCCAGTCATACAAAAAAGTTGAAACCAGTTTATTATGTTATGAAGGTCAATGTCATATTAGATAAGAAAGAAATGTTTTACCTCTGGCATCACAAACAGCCTGCACATTGACAGAATGTACCCCTTTCCTATTCACGAATGATGGTTCATCCTCTGATGGAGCCTGGATACGGATGTGTGTCCCATCTATTGCCCCTAGCACATTTGGGAAACCACTTAGACGGTAAAAGTCTCCTCTTGTTTCATCAACATTTCTCGGCCACTTGATAAACTCATCCCGTTTGTCACATAATGAATTCAAAACATCAGACACAATACGTGAGACAGTTTCCTTGTGCAAACCTGTAAACAGACCAAAAACAACAACATACAATTTTGGAGATCGATAAAGTACAAAAATAAAATGTGTATTTACCGTTTGATTATATATTATTTAGAAAATCAACAAATTGAAAGTATCACTCAAAAATCAGCCAAAGATAAATATAGCAGTCGATTAATACCACATTGGCAATGTTTACTTAATTTTAGATGACATATGATAAATATATAATGAAATCTTACCTATTGTGTCTCCAACTACTTGCAAGAAACTGCCTGTGGCTAAAAATCTCATGGTTACCATAACTTGCTGTGGAACAGTGAGGGCATGGTTTCTCTTTGTTTTTCTTGATACATCATTGCTAACTAGGTTGGAAATGAACATAATTCCTTCTCTACCAAGTCTGTACCTTTCTCTTAATTCCTCATTGGACAAATTCAAAGAAAGGTCATCTTTGAGGCGAAAATGCCTTTCTTTTCTCTGAGGTGGAACAGGTACTTGCATGAAGGCAGCCATATTTAACAATAACTTAGATATTTAATCGACCTCCCAGAAGTTGTTAAAGTTAACGACTCTTTAACATTACTTTTGTCGTTAAATTTTTTGAACAACAGTTAACAAATTTGTTAAATTTAACGACTCTCTAACGACACTTTAACGACTGCGTTAGCATAACAATACTTTTGAACAACCGGGCCCAGAGAGATAACAGAATACCGTATCAGTGTAAGATGACCAAAGGGAACTCAAGTCAATATTTGTGAAAAAGAGTTTAAACAAAAACTAATATCAGTGTCAGTGGACCTTGACCAGGGGTAGCCAAATATTAAGTACACACATGTACTTTCATTTAATATCAAATAAGAGTAAACAGTGTCACAGTAATTCTGTTATCCCTCTTTCACTGCCGACAAAATTTTGGTTAATCTAACGAATTATTCCTTGGTAAAACATGCAGATGAACCGGCAATATTGAGTTGTTTGTACGGAGCTAATTAAGGTTTAGGTATTCAATACAACCAAGGTAAGTTCTCAAATTTGTTGCTCATTGAAATATTCTCATCCTTATCCAAGGTTACATTTTTGTACGTGAGATCACCCTACTGTTCATTTATTCCTTGGTCTTTGATAAGACACTTGTACATCTTGTAGTAATAAAATTTACAGACAAAAACAATATTGTTCGAAGCTTTGTCCACAGAAACAACAACATATGTGTCGTGAAGAGACTTCAGACTTTTCACAGCCCTTTGTCTCTGAATACGGACTTAGGTCGAATATTTACACAGTTTTTCAACTTGTGGATTCTACGTTGTATCAACCACCTAATTGCTTTAACCTATTCTGACAGAATTCCTATTTCAACCTGTTATTGTTCATGTTGTTGCTCTGGCGTTATCCTCAACGGAATTTATTATCATTTTAAGGTTTTGGTTCCAATTGATATGTTGTGGCTCTCTTAATTCAGGAACATGAAATATCGCCTTCCGGAGATGTTTATGTTAAATTTCATTTAGATCACCAGTAATTACATGGCTAGAAAGCCTGTAAATATATAGATAGTGGAAACAGTCACATGGTAGAGGGTTTTTGAAGTATACTTCTTAATTAAGATTTTGCCATGCTTGTTTATAGCTAAATATTGTTGTTGCTATGGTTTTGGTGAAACTATCGGAGACAATAGGAACAGACTGATTTTGAAAAAAAATCGGACATTTAGATGTTACTTCTTTGTGATGAAGAACGTTGCTGGTGTTGATAGCATTTCTTTTTATTTGCAAAATCAATTTGCAGGAATTTCCTATTTTCATCGTGTAATGGTTCTATCTTACTGGTTTTAATAGACGAAAAAGGCTACATCACAAAATATACTTACTAGTCTGTATATTGGAGAAAACACATCTAAACATCCTTTGTCAAGTGCATAATCTCTTAAACAATTTAAAAGTTTAAAAAAGTTAATGGTACGACTGCAATGTAACCCAAATGGGTGAAGAATGTTATCAAAGCTCTCAGTAAGTGATCTAGGTTTGGATTTTTTTTTTTACATTTGGACGATGGTTATGTGTTTGACCATGACTACGCTTGGATATCAAGCTAATTAAATTTACATTACTGCAGGCAAAAATATCACCCTCTTGTCGATTTTTATTGAAATTCTAGTAAAAACTAATGTTCCTTAAAATTATAATTGTTTACAAAAAAAAATTTTCCTCAGTTTTGAATGGGAAATCAATTTGGAATGAATGTTGTACTTGCATATAAATTTTCGTTGAAATTCTTTCACATAAAATATGTTTCTCAAATTTGTATTTGTGTTACGAAAAGTAAGTTGTCTACCACAGTTTTGAAAAAAAATGTGGCAACCAATTTGGAATAGAATAATACAAACCGACAAAGTGTTTTATAAAGGGCACTACCGACTAGTCATGACCCTTATAATAGCTGTTATATTGGTATTTCTTGGTGAAATTTATAGCATAACTTCTACATTTTCTATATGGTATCAAACGATGTTAGCATTTACTACTGGCAAACTGAAAGTGATTTTTTTCTTATAATTACACCAAGATTATTTACACAGAAATATCGACCACTGGTAAAAAAAAAATGATTATATAAAATCTTCAACTGTGGTTACAAACTTCAAGTGCTAGATTTGAAAGACGAATTATCATATGAAATACTTGACAATTGTAATGATAGTTCATTAGTTTGGAGACGATTATATCTCTTGGTTGTTCCAAATTCTTTTTTTTTTCTTTGAATGATCTCTATCCATATCTATGAATTAAAACCGGATGAGTATAAAAATAGAAATAAAAGTGCAATCGAATAGTGACAAATACAATTCGTCTAAACGACAGTAATTCAGCATAGTAGATTTTTATTTATTTATTTTCATTAAATGTTTTGACATATGAGATACTAAACATACAATTATGTTAAGCCTAGTCTATATTTAGACGGTATGTAATACATGTTATGTAATGTATTGATTTGAATGGAAATCCAGTATCACAGTATTGAAAACGAAAGATATATATCCATGACCTGTTAAACGGGATTTGTTTTGGGTAAATTAATGATTACGTATAACTATAGCAAGAATTAAAACGATAAAAGTGAAAAATTCTTATCAATGTACTTACCACTGGTATAAATTAGTTCAACATCCTGAAAATACCCACAAGCTGGCTGACTATTTGTATCTTTATTATAATGAGAAACCAAAGTCAGATTTATCTTCTCATCAATCCAGATGGCGCATAGCCTAATGCGGTCCTTATCAGTATCCTGCTCTAAATATAAAGTTTCAAGTTAGTCAGCAATCCACCAAAACTTCGAGACAAAACAAAAACAAAAAACCTTTTTAATTAATAAAACAAACGGCATATATAACATGTCGACGTTTTAATTGAAAGCTTACTTATGTTAATCAATTTGGGGTTGTTTGTCGTAATGGTATGACTGCATCCTATTTTAAATAAAAAATAGCATGCGTAAGAAAACTAAAATGGGTCGAAAGGAGAGATATAGGAGGAATAATAGTGAAACAGCTTTGCCTTTAACAAACAAAACAAAATTTTTTCACTTAAGGATGTACACCTCTGGGGAGCCAAACATTTCAAGAATTAAACTTTTTTTCTTAACCTGATTTTTGGTTTTATATGACTATAAAAAAAAATTGGTGGAGAAAAAATCATATGGTGGTGCACTTCTTTTTTTGCTACGGCCATTTGAAAGTACCCAATTCTGATGATTTTCCCATTTTTCATCAATTTTCACCCATTTTTGGGCTATTATCATGAAAAAATAATACAGTTTCACAATCAAACTTTTTTTCATACTTTCAATAAAGATGAAATGGACCAAACTGTATAAATTTAACTTAAAAAAACTATAGGTAGGTGTTAATTTATGAAAGTTTTATAAAATTTTGTTGCTTTTTCGTGTCAAATTTACCATGCTGTCAATTTTGTAAATTTGCGATTTTTCTCTTTTTTTTTAGAACAAAAAGCATATTATTTTAACTTCTTTGTTATAAATGATTGGAAAAATACATATCTAAGAAATTTGAAAAGAAAAAAAATTATATGGGATGTACATGTTTCTATTAAAATCATGTCTTGTACCCCTCACCCATTTTCTCAACATTTTGGCAGGGACTGACTTTTGTTAATAAAATTTCAAAATTTTATTACTCAAAAACTACTTATTGTAAATACACAATTTTTTCACAAAGTTAAGTTTGATTATAATATTTTTTAAATTCATTGATAATTTCCACTTGCATCACATGTTTTGGAAATAATTCTAGAACGCGATTTCAGCGAGACTGAAACTTCAGAAGAATACATCCTTGAAATGTTTGAGTCACGCTAACGCCACTGTGTACATAAGAACAGAATGCACAAAATCCTACATATTATATGTGAGCTACATTAATCAGAATGTTGAATTTCAAAACCAAATGATACAACAGGTACTATTTGACATTTTCCCTGTGATACCATGCTTTACTGATTGATGAGGTTATTAATGTTTGATCCAATACCTTGAATTGATGTTAAGTATTGTATGCAAATTGTCATATTGCTGTGACCTTCGCCTCACATGTGAGGTACACATTGAGGTGGGTTTTATGCTTTGCTTCACATTCATAACTTGTATAATTTATTTTTATAGGAAATTAAATGATTTCTCAATCTCTCATTGCCAATTTTCTTGAGCCGTTGTTAATAATTTTACATTTTATAGAATGGTCTTTTTGTTATACTAGTAATTTTGTTCCATAATAAAACGATCCTAAGCCCGAGAAGTATCTCATTTGTGTTTCTGATAACCCTGGAAAAATACAACGAATCTGAAACTACATCACACTGTATAGAATGCTTACGTAAAGCTTGATACCAAGTTTCAGCAAGTTTTAATCTCTAGGTTATGAGAAATGCAACCAAAATTGTATACACGGCCATTGTGTGTAAGCATATATATAGATAAGTATTCGGT